TAATCTATGTGGAAATGCTTCCTACTCTTTATTCAGGGGTGCAGAGGGTACTGCAGGCACATATAGGTACCATTTCTCTCTCTCATGATCTTACATCAAGTATTTCTGATAGTGAAGGTAAGTATTCCAGCTCATTTCCTTCTGCTCAGCAGCATTCCTTAAGTGAGCAAAGAGAGCAACAGTGTGGGCAAGGCAATGGCATAAAGTTCTATCAAACCAGGGCGGGGACATTCTGGGACATCCCCAATAGCTCTAGGAAGGTCACAAGTTGGGCCAAGAAGCGCTTGCTGCTGCAGTGTGATTTGTCAGTCTGAAACAAATCAGCAGGGCTGTGCAACATGAGTGGCAGTGTGGTGGCTGCAGAACCCAGAGGTCCAGAGGCCTGTATTTCTACTGAATGCATCAGACTGTTGTTAAAATGGTAATAATGCTGTGTCCACACGAATTGAAATCTGTTGGAGAAATGAAATACATCCTTACAAGCAAACCTGAAGTAAGCAACTTGGAAGTGGACTACAGTGAGGTTATTTTAGGATGGCAAAACCCAGTAGGTAGGTTATAACCCACTTCAAACTCTGCAGTGTGCATATTTGTGTCCTTGTGTGATGTTATGCTATTGGAACAAAGACAAAGCTGCACTATAAACCGACATTATATTATGGTTCTCATTTTGTCTCCAAAGAAATAACCTTGCATTCTCCTTTCTCTGCTGTATGATGCCATGTTCTTACCTGCAACATCTTGAAGATGTGGCTGTGAAAAACACTTCAGAGCCAAGCATAGCCATATCATAGCAGGCAATACCTGCTGTGTGGTAAAATGTGTTGTAGAGGATGGGTAGAGGAGAAAACCCTCACTGAAATCAGCCAATAAGGTTTTAAAAACCTTGGGAGCTACATCTATTGATGAAGAATAGAAATCTGTATAATCAAAGAGATGGTCATCCTAACTGCTTAGGATTTTGTTTTCTAAACTTTATGCCCATAAGTAGAGCATGCAGCTAGAGGAGAAGAGAAAAAAAAAAAAAAAAAAAATGAAAAAAGGAGGTGAGAGAACACCCTTAGTTGGAGGACCCTAGAGAAGAAACCAGAGCAAAATTTTCCTTTAGATTGATTCCCTTTTGCACCACTTCATCTGTCAGTGTAATGAAAGTTGCAACATAGTATTAAGCAATTTGAATTTATCTTTATATCAATCGTCTGATGGCAGGTGTGGCCAGAAATTAGACCCAAGGCATCAGTAGTAAATGGAGAAAGTGTAGGAATGTATGAACCCCCACCCTAGAGTTACTGACAGAAGGAGAGTGGAGTTTGATCTCTTTTTGAAATTAAGGGAAAGCTATTATGGATGGCACGGAATGTGAGAAAATCTTTGATTCAAACTGTAAGTGTGCTACATGAAGGCAGCATCTTCTGAGCTGTACAAAGATAGAGGGTGGTACCAAGCTGTACCTCAGCTCATGAGGTGACAGAGAGCTCCTGTGCATCTCCATACCATATATGTAGTTATGTAGTCTGTGCAGGGACAACTTGAGAATGTCTGAGCCTGTTGCATAAAGATGTTGGCATCCATCTAGTTTAGAAAGGAAAGAATTGGGAAATGCAGGAAATATAATATCACAATTGTCAAGAGAGAAAGTGCTTCAGACACTTAACTCCTTTGCAAAGGAGTTTCTGTGCTTGCAGGGATACGTTACATTAGTTTTGTGGCAATGCAATTTAGTTTTGGAAGTTGTCTCACCCTTTTCTACATCTGTAGCCTCCTTCCTGCATCCAGAGGAGAAGCTGTGAAGCTTGACGTTACAAATCTCTTATGCAGAATATAAACCCCACAAAGTTAAGGTAGTTGTTCATCTTGGATGGGGTACATTTGAATCCAAAACTCATCTTTAGGATAGAAGCAAGGTATTAAGCTCTTTCTGTTAATAGGAATGTGAGTCTTTCTGCCTGGAGCACAATTCAACAGAGCAGTCAACCATTTCTTTAGCTTTGAAGATGCTGAAATGGAACCTGGGTTAAAAAGAACCGGTTCCCAGCCTGCCTCGAAAGGTAGTTGTTTAGTGCTAAAATGTGAGTTTCCTTTCTGGTACGTGAACATCCTAGCCTTAAGATTTTCAGTACTCAGTCGCGGTCCCCAGACTCTCGTGTTTTGAGAGGGATTGTACTCCCCTTACCTAATGTGGGAATCCCATTTTTGTGCCTCAAGGGTCAATGGTGTAAGGCACTTAGAAATCATTGCGGATTGTGGTTGTTGTCAATTGCCACGGAAATTAAGGCCATGCAAGTACCTTCTTCTCCTTCTTCTTCCCTTTCATTTGTTGTCTGGTTACTGCTCAATATTACACATTTGGTGAGATGTCCTAAAAAAAGCATTACATCCTAATGTTAACAATTCTTGGTTTTTCTTTCTCTAGGTCTGCCAGTAGCTGACAAGGTAGAAAGATGACCTCTTCTCTTTCATTCTTGTGAAGTTAGAGGCAGTGCCCATTTAAACTGTGGCTGAGGCTCTGCGATGGTGCAAGTCTATCTTACTCCTTCAAATTCAGTGATGCTGCCGGAGTTTTCAGTAATGAACTTTGAAGGATTCAACCACTCTAAAGCTTTTGGACAGTGGCAATTATCTGAAAACATTCCTACAGGTTTATCTTCTTCATCTACGTTTGTTTGCTCTCTCCATCTCATTCAAAGCAGTCAGGACTGGTTTGCTCTCTACAGATAACTTAAAGGAGGCTGTAGCGAGGTGGGGGTTGGTCTATTTTCCCATGTTCCTGGTGACAGGACGAGGGGGAATGGGCTTAAGTTGCACCAGGGAGTTTTAGGCTGGATGTTAGGAAGAACTTCTTTACCAAAAGGGTTGTTAGACATTGGAACAGGCTGCCCAGGGAAGTGGTGGAGTCACCATCCCTGGAAGTCTTCAAAAGACATTTAGATGTAGAGCTTAGGGATATGGTTTAGTGGGAACTGTTAGCATTAGGTCAGAGGTTGGACTCGATGATCTTGAGGTCTCTTCCAACCTAGAAATTCTGTGATTCTGTGATTCTGCTTCCCCCTTCTCTGGAAATTTGGCACTAGGAACCATTGTTAGAATCAGAATCCTGATCTGAGAGCATGATGAAAAATGTTGCACTCCAACTTGGACATTGGAGAGGAAAATGTTCATGTAGACGTCAGTATGGTACTCAAACAGCTGCTTACACCTTTTAACTTTTAAACCTGAGAAGCAACAGGTAGTTTCTACGTTGCCCTCAGGGATAGTGTACTCTTTTGTACTTTGCTTCTATACAAACAGTTCAAAATTTTAAAGTCATGTTGTCGCTCATACCACCAAACAACCTTGCACGGCATTACACGTTCCCCCCCAGATAGAGCTTGTCCTGAATGCGAGACCAGACAAGGAATAATGCCAGCACGTAAAACTAACTCGTACATACATCTCTTTTTGGCTTTTTTTGTTTTGTTTTGTTTTGATGCTTTGTGGGGCTTAGCTGTACTTCAGTGAGAAGAATGTCTTCTGGTGTGAACTGAAATTATACCTCTATGCCACAATGTCCCTCTATTTTGGGGGAGGGGAGAGGAGGGTGTTGATAATTCCTTGTGGACACCTGAAGGAGTTGCAAAATAATAAACTTTAGGTGAAGGAAAAGTTCCTTCTCTTAATTTTTGTCATTGTTGTTTTTCTTTTCCATCTGGTCATAAAACGAAGGTCCCATTTTCTGGCTTTTGGCAAGAGTGCAAACATGCTGAAACTGTTCACGTTACGTAGACTGTATTGTCTGAAATGATAATATCATACCTATAGTCTGCTGCAGGCTCAAAAGCAGCCTATGCCTCCTGGACTGTTTTTATGCCTTTGCTTTTGTTACTACGTCCTTGTAAGTCTTAAACAGGGAAACGAAATTACCCTATACAGAAGAAACACCATCCAGAAGAAACTTCAGGTGCTAGGGCCTGAATTTTCACTGAAATCAAAGGCAGGTATCTTACTGACGTGAAGAAAGGTGCTTTAATCTATCCTGGCTTGTTTACTAATGAAGGAGCGTGAAAGAGATGCGTGTCCTTGTCTCTGAAGAGGAGGTGAAGGAACAGCTAGTGCAAGGAACACAAAATTCAGTTATGCCAAACTAACAGGTGGTTGTATCCCAGCTTGGAGACCGCAACACAGAATCACCTAGGTTGGAAGAGACCTCCAACAGGTCTCTTACATCAGGAAGAATGTAACTGGACGAGGGAGTTCTATCCTTCAGTGAGGAATGATGCCAACTGGTGGAGAAGCACTGTACTGATGAGGAGCTGTGAAATTGCTGCCTGAGAGACTAAGCAACACCAGCATATGTCATGCAGTGGGGGAGTCAGCGTCGTAGTGATTCTATAATGGGAATGAAGCCAGGAATACCAGATCCTGAGGGGAGCACAGCATTAGAGAACATGGTACTGTTCTCTGAATCCAGGTTAAAGAGGGCACAATGGGGCAAAAGCTGATATGTATTGCAGCAACACCTCTGGTGGCAAATTGGCTTTACAATTTATTTATTAAAGATAAAAATCCCTGTTATCTATGCCAGTATAAGGCATTTCACAATAAAGTTGGCTTTGCTGATACTAATTGTAAAGAGAGATGTCAAAGGGAGCAGCCACATAAGTATGCCAGGACTCCAAACTGTGTGTCTTCCAAAGACTTCTGTTGTTATTCCTGACACTACAATATGATAGTGAAGTTATGGACCATAGAATTTATCTTTATGTTCATGTAGTAGCAAAACACACCAAAAAAAACGTGGCATAAATACTGCAATTTCAGATCCCAATCTTGAACAGTAGTAACAAGGAAGCTGCACAGCAATGGTTTATAATTGGAATGTGCAAATTTTAATATTTGGTTTGCATTAAACATGATATATATTACATGAATTTCACAATAAACATTATTAAAATAGAATTTAGTCTGTTTGTTTGCTTCAGATAAGCTTATTACTATCCTAACTTGGCAATATAATGTATATATAGTAGGTAGAGCAAAAATAAACATTTAACAATTTCTGATTTGTTTTGTGCTGCTTTTTGTTTCAGGACTCGTACTTCACAAGGGTGTGTATGTGTTTAGTTTTAATTATGAGTTTACTGGGAATCTGCAAAGAAATATTTCAGCTCATTCAGCAGGTAAGTTCATAAAGAAATATATGCATAACATCAATCACAATCATGTGCATAGCAGTTTGTATTATATTGAAATATATCTGATTTTTCTCTAATTGTAAGGGAAAGAGAATTTATTCCTATATATGAGATTATAAGTGAGAAAAAGGATTTAAAACCTGTTATTCAATTCAGTCCTTTAATGATGCATGACTTGTAAATATGCATCTCTCTCTTAAATCCTAGAAATTGAAATATTTGTTGGATTACTCCAATCTACTGGACTGGACAATTTATACTACAAGCATAATTTTTGTGTCTTCTTTATTTATTAATACACCAGCTCATTTGCAGTGGGAATGTGGAGCAATTGCTGTATACTTGTCTTGGATGAACTTCTTGCTTTACCTTCAACGGTAAAAATTATTTACAAGCTTTACAATTAATACTTTCAATATTTTACAAATTCTAGAGTGTAACTTATCATGTGATAATCCTATTTTTAATTTATGTATTTATTTTAAACTATACAAGTTTCCAGATTAGGATCATAGGATTTTTTTAAAGTATTTTTATTTTTTAACTTATGAACTGTGAAGTAGTTTTTTGTGCTCTTCATGTATGGAATCACAGTGTGTAATGGAAACATAAGAAATAATAAAACTTATTTTAATGCTAAGCGAGCAAAGTCACTGGATATGTCTTTTAAAAACGTGTTTTATTATACTATATAGACTTCAACTTGAAGAACAAGCAAACAAACAAAACAAAACAAAAAAACACAACCCAAAATAAAAATACATACCATCACAAAAAAAGAATGCAAATTACAGGAGGCAAAAGAACAACAATCTGTTGTTACAACACCTGAGGGAGGGTAATATCTTCCATCATTTTACAGAGAGAATGGCACACCCCACTTTTTTACACCATGATGTCCTGTAAAAGAATTCCAATGGGTGAAATTATTTCTTTAGTTGACATTGTCTATTTATTGCCATAAATGACCCCAATCATACAGGTAATACAGTGGTGTCTGAGAGTCATGAACTTAAGGAGAGTTATGAAGATGGAAAAATAGGGTGGATGTACTGCTTAATACTAATAAAGCATGTTTGTACCTGAGCAGGAGTGTCTTGCATAAAGATGACATATGGCTGAACAGGAAAAAAAAAAATAGTGTTTTGAGCTGCTAAAGAATCTAAGTGATAACCCGGCATATATGCTTTTCAGACTCTTATTCCATGTGGTTTGACAGATAGACAAACATCCATTTGCTAATTAATTTTAACAGCATTTTACTGTAGTTGGGATGTTTGAGGACAAGATTTGTCAACAGAGGCAATATCATAAAGATATTGTCTCTTATGATATTGCCTCTGTTGACAAACCTTGCCTTGCATGTGTCTGACCTTAGATGACTAGTGAATGGGCTTATCCTCTCTTCTTGGCTGTGTTCAATGGGAAAAATGAGTATGGAACCTAAACAGTAAAAGTACCCAACCTTACCTCATTTGTGAGATTAAATGCTTCCCTTCCCTGCTTATGTCGGTAGAACTTTACAGGTACTCTACAAGACATTTCTGTAACTGAGTCAGGCCATCTCTTCTCAAAGCAAGTAGTTCTGTTGACTTCAGTGGTGTTGTATCTAATAAATACAAATTTATTTGCATTAAGATTAGGTTTGCTTTACTTCCAGTTTGATGTTTTCAGACTTGCAAATAATATTGGGGGGAAGAGGGAGGAGGAGGAACCCCATGAAGGGATTTCCTCAGTTGCTATTTTCATAGCATTAAAAGTTATCTGGTCCCTGAATCTGCTTTTTGGGGAAAACAGTTCATGTTCTGAGAATTGGTTTTCATGTAAACCAGGAATGGAAGGGGCTTGCCAGCATACAGACTGTTGTTAGAAACACAGGTGACTTAAAATAGTGCTACTCACCTTCTCTTACTGAGCAATATTTCAATATTTTTTTCTGCTCATTTGTTTTCCATGACTTCTAGTGTCATAAAAAGAAAAATCTTTTAAAATCAGGTGTATGACTACTAGATGTATAATGGTGCCAGTTGTCCTTTGTTCTAATTGCAAATTTGCCTCACAAAACAGCAAAAAAAAAAAAAAAAACACACAAAAAAACAATTTCCTAATATTTAGAGAACAAGTTGTACAGTATAGTACTTTCAGTGACTATGGACAGAGTAAAAGTTGTTGATGAAAAATAATTATCTTGAAATGCAGCTCTAGTGCATTAAGCATAAGATTCTGTAATTTAATCTTGCCATAAATAAGAACATTCTTTTGCATGTGAAAATACAAAATATTTAGACCATCTCAGAATGTCCAGAGGAGAAATGTTTCTTATCACACATAGAAAGTAGGATAACTGATTTCATATTTAACTGTATTGCATATAAGAGACTGTAATTGTAATGTAACTGTAAGAGACTGTAACTTCAGTATTTAATTTTGCTTATCTTTTTCTGTTTACTTATTGTCCAGGTTTGAAAATTATGGCATTTATGTTGTGATGTTCTGGGAAATTCTGAGGACTTTGATTAGGATTGCTGTTGTTTTCTTTTTCCTGATATTGGCCTTTGGACTGAGTTTCTTTGTCCTTTTGGGTTCACAGGTTAGTTGAATGGCACAGTTAACTTTTTATCATTATAAATATTATCTTTGAATAAATAATTTCAAGAGATTATTTAGAAATTTCATAGTTTTGTGGTATTTTCTTGATTTTTTTTTTCTTCTTTTTGCAGCAAACATACAGCACGCCATTGCTTTCTGTAATGAAAACATTTGCAATGATGCTAGGAGACATAAATTATCATGATGCATTTCTTGATCCATTACTGAGCAGTGAATTGCCGTATCCATTCCTGAGCTACACAGTTCTCATTATATTTACCTTGCTTATTCCAATCCTTCTTATGAACTTGCTAGTAAGTAAACTACTTCTCAATATACAGAAGTGATTATGCATATATTTATACACAGTTTTGGCATATAGCATTACTTTACTGCTGACTTGTGACATTCATTCGTTATTTAACAAATAGACATTCTTAGTAACATATTAAAAAGTTGCCTTTCCCTTGACTCACATTTCCTCCAGTTACTGTACAGTTAATTATTGTAGAGTTATCTTGTACCAGGTAGTAACTGTATGGAATTTGCTGAGCTTCAAGAAAGTCTTCCCCATTTCCTGGGTTCAACTTTAGAATAAGCAGTAGCACTATTAGAAGCACTTTAGAATAGGAAAAGCACTATTTTTATTCTTTGCTGAGGCATAGTCCCTCTGGTCTCTGCTACATTTCTCTGACTCTGTACTGACAGTGGAAAAAATGTAAGAATTAAGGCTTAGTGCTCTGGGGTGATTCTGGACCAACATTTGCACGTTTTGGTCTAACTTCATGTTGGAGAGAGTAAAGTAAGTAAACAAAATTAAGTAAACAAAATGAACTGGAAAACCTATACGTAGTGAGAAAGGGCTAAAATAAAATGCATGTATAATAATAGTAATAATAATAGTTAAATAACTTTCAGCCATATTCCATTGAACATCAGTTATTGTATTTAGTAAATCAGGGTTTCACAAGAGATGGGCATTAATGATCAATTATTTTTTCTTAGATTATTTATTGTCACAGTGATAGTATTCAATCAGTGGTTAACATGTATTTTTCTCTTAACATAAAAGCAATCATGGATTATAGAAGAAGGGATTTTATTATTGACAAATCTTTTACATTGTTTTTATTAGTAGTAGACAGTTGACTTTAAAAAAGCTTACTACATTTCTTGATATGTATTTTTCAAATATGCACAAAGGAGTTGTGTTTCCAGATTCAAGTAAGCAAATTTAACTTTCAAGTTATCTGGACTTAAATGTGAGTGAGAAATACAACAATAAAAACACAATAAAATGTTTCTTTGATCCTGTGATGTATTTTTAGATTGGTTTGGCTGTTGGGGACATAGCTGAAGTGCAAAAATATGCTGCACTCAAAAGGATTGCAATGCAGGTGAGTAGCATACCATAGAAGCAACAACTATAGGAAGTAGATAGCGTAACTAGAATACTATCAAGATAATTAACTAATTTATCATCAACATCCCTAACTAACATTGCAACATCTCTATAAAGCAAATTGTTGAACATGGGCATCCTAACTTAACCTTATTTTCAATCATGGGAGTCACTGTCAAAAAGGCATATGTAAGCAAGTGCATTTTTAAGGAAATTAGAAGAGCCAGATCAATTAATTTTGAGTTATTTCAATAACAGAATGTCAAAGTGAATAAGTGCATTGTTTGAAATTGGAGTGTTGACTGTTAAGGTGAGTCAAAAGAGGGTCAAAGTACACGAGAATCAAAAGGAAGCCAAACGCATTGCAGTATACTGAATGCTCATGGTGGTTTGTGGACCAAGAAGATACTCTGCGATGCCAGGTATAACTAAGGAGCTTAGGGTCACATTTACAAGTGTATTTAGATACCTTAAGACGTATGTAGACATCTAACAGAATTTGCATTAAAAGCAGAAGAGTTTAATAATTTATATGCCTTTTTACATTTATTTTAAGAAACACAAAATTTGTCATATATTTTTTTCCTTGTGAACTGCATATCAAGCTTGATTTTTCACAAGTGGAAATATGCTAAGTATACACCTGTCAACTAAAGAGTAAATATTGCTTCTCACAATGTGTTCATAGAAACTGGCTGTTCATATGCTGCAGAGAGAAGTGTCTTTGCTCATGTTCCCTGCTGGCTCTGCTTTTTCTAGAAAGTTTCAGAGCCTACATAGTGCCTATAAAAGGAGAGATGTGTGCACAGACAGAATATCCAAAGACAAGAACTCAGAAGTAACTTCTGCTGGTAGTTACATAACTTACAATTGTGTGCCGTACTGGCTTAGTTCAAGCATATTTGAAGAAATATGTAACATTTCCTTCCAAGAGTTATAAAAATGACTGAAGTAAAGTTATAAGGGCAGTTAATATTTTTTATCTGTTTAAGTATTTTGTTGCCAACAGAATGCTCGGGAATGGTGGTGTCTTGCCACTTTAGACAGTGCTGTGAAATCTTTATTAAGCATGTAACATTTAGTATGTTTGATAGGATTATGATTGTCTGCTTAAAGGCTCATGCTGTATGTCCTTTTCTTTTAGATACATATGCTTAGTATTTCTGTAGCAATGTGAGAATGAATGGAAAGGTGACATCTGCTGAAAAGGCCACTTACATATTCATTTTACCTTTGGGAATACTTTACTCACAGGCATTCTACTGGTCTCCTAATCTATACTGGCTCTGCCAGAACCTAATAAAAGAATATAGCACAGTTAAAGAGAGAAAGATCACTCTCATTATTTGGTTTCAAAATCTGTTGCTATGATAAGTATTCTGTCTTTGAACTTTTTTGCTCTATAATTCTATACTGTAACCCTCAAGGTAAAAAAGATGTTCAATTCATTTCACAAGAATTAACTCAGTTTTTTTTTAAAACAAAACAAAAAACAAAAACAAAAACATTTTAATTGTAAGAGTGCATAACTGTGGAATACTTAACTCTGCTAAAAAATCTCAATACTGTTATGAATAGTGTCTAGTTATTAATAATTATTATTATCTAGTTATTATTAATTATTATTAATACTGTTATTATCTAGTGTCTGAGCTACACAGATCAAATATTATACTATGGTGTGCAGTGTAGATATCCTCTAGGACTTGATATCGAGTAATAGTGATTTGAATGTAATGACATAATTGTTATTTTCATATTGTAATGTGTCGTTATCTTAAGAGAATATATCTTACTCTAAATGCGAAATAATGTTTAGGTTAATCTTCACACAAACTTAGAGAAGAAGCTGCCATTTTGGTTCCTAAGTCGGGTGGACCAGGAATCAATCACTGTGTATCCTAACAGACCAAGATACTGTGGATTTATGGTAAGATGTTGAATCTTAGACTAAAGATTTCATATTTATATGTGTTATGATTGACTTAATTTGTACACAGATTGCTGGCAATGTTGTATTAATAAGACTTGATCATTATTTGATATCACTAGAAGCATGTTTAAACCTTGATTGTCTTCACTAAAAATGAACAGTCAAGTCTTCAGTTTGAGTGCAGCCCAATTTATTCAAATATAATTAGTGTTTGAGTTCTTAGTGAGCTGTGACATTATGAGATGAGACAAGCTACAGAAGTCACTCAGACTGAAAATGTAATTACTCCCTTTTGGCATTTCTTCTTTTATTTGTTTACTTTTAATTTCAACTGTTGTTGGTAGAATGAATTTTCTGATTAAACACATTTTGCAAAACAAATGTTTGATATACTAAAAATAACTTTATAACTGAAATTGTTTTCAACTTTTAACAGTGTGTTGAAACTGTTAACATTCACCCTTTTGGGATTTTTAATCTGTTTTCAGACTATAAAATCTGGTTTCATTTTGGTACTTTGTTTTGTTTAGAGTGTGTTCCAGTATTGCTTTGGGTGTGAGGACTCTACCACAGATGCACAGAGCACTGATACAACCTTAGAACTGGAAGTTCTGAAGCAGAAATACAGGTATTCATTGTGTTACTTTATTACAGTAAGCACAGTGAAATTACAAATATATTATTTAAATGTAGTGTTCTAAAACTCAGTGCTACACCTGAAAAGTAAAATCCAGTGTATCTTTTGTCCTTAAATAAGCTCAATCACTATGGCAACTTAGTATTTTATTTTATATTCTGTAATGTATTTACTTTCAAAATACTTGAGGGTTAGAGAAATATTTTTATCCCATGGCAGCAAAGGAGGTGGAGGTCGATTGTACATTAAACTGAACTAAATTAATGAGGAAAATGAACTTTCATTTCAAAATCAGAGGTTTGGATATGGAGGTTTTCCAGAGCTACACTAAAATTAAAATTAAAGTAATTCCAGTTGGTTTGCAGATACACACAATCTGTAACTGACATTGCAGTGGTCAGATGGTAAATCTGCTTCAGCTTTTTTTCCCAAAAAATTGATTGTTGTCCTGGTTCTCCTTCAGACAAATCATCTGTTTCCTAAAACCCTGGAAAGAATTCTCTGTATTGTACTTTTCTTACTTATCTTACCAATGTCCAATGTCATCCATAGGAATGGTTTCAGAAAAGCCTTCCATGAATGTACAGCTAGTAAAATCTATTTTTTTTTTCTCTCTCTCTCCCCCCCCCCATCAATGCCTCCCCTGCCTCCATACCCAAGCTCATTCTGTCTCTCCTTTTAATCTACTGATTTTTTTTTGCCCTTCACATAATCTGATGAAGTATGTAGGACTGAAGCATGTAGGACACAGCAAGAACTGAGGGGCTGTGGATACGCCCTACAGATGTTGGCAAGCCATGGAACTTAACAAGTCTTTCTTCAAGTCTATGCCACATCAGTGTATTTCAAAACAGCATAGAACATACTCTTTGTTTTTCTACAAAGAGGGAAGAAAAATAATATTTTCTATAATTATAGAATTATTTGGAATGGAATAACTTGTGGCCACTTCACTATGGAAAATTCTGCTCCGAAAATATGTCTCAAATATTCGTTTTACTGTGTTGCCAACATGTTTTTGTTGTCAGAGTTCGAAACAGCATTCAGTTTCTGCTGAAGCTAGTGGCAATCAGCACCGAGTATTTACACTCTTCATTTTGTTTTGTTTCATTTTGTTTTCATTAATGCTAGCTAATTGTTACACTACTTTAATTCTTATGGTACTTGATTGATAGCCACATGAATACAACAGTAACTAAAGAAACCCCAAAGTGTTCTTCAAAGAGTCTTTTCAGTCACGCTCTGTACGACTTTGTGCTGTAATTTTGTGAATTCTAAAAAGTAGAATTTTAAAAATACTGCTTCACGCTTTCATAAAGACAGTTTCTGCACACATTTACTATTTATTCCATTGTTCCTTAAAAGTTAGCAGATAATGTGTTCTGTATGTGTGATGCTAAATGATGCTTTTTATTTGTATTGATTGCACTTTGGATAGCACTTTTAAAGAAATTAGTATGTGTCTCATCAGTTTGACACGTGCTGTTAAAGTAGCTGTGAAGTCCACCAGGTGTCTGAATGCTTATTTGCTGTTGCACACCTGGTCTTTTTTTCCTTGCCATATTAATTGAGTCAGAACTATGGAAGAAAGTTCAGAATTTTACTTTATTTGAGAGTGAGACTTCTCTTACATTAAATATATGTCACTTATCTCAAGATCCATAAATTTGTTCTTTAATATAATTTCTTGGAACCTGGAAAAGTACCACAGCTTAAAAAATCAAATGTACTCCAGAGATAATTAGCAGAAGGGTGAAATTGAGGACTGACAGATCTTTTGTATCTGTCCTTTGAAACCAAATGGCAAAGCCCCTTTTATGCATTTTTTTTTCTCTCTCTCTCTCTCTCTTTTTTTTTTTTTTTTTAATCTTCTTTTAGGCTCAAAGATCTATCAACCCTGTTGGAAAAGCAACACGACCTCATTAAACTGATTATACAAAAAATGGAGATAGTATCAGAGGCTGAGGATGAAGACAGCAATGATTTATTTCAGCACAAGTTTAGGAAAAGGCAGTTAGAACATAAGAATAGTAAATGGGATACAGTGTTAAAAGCTGTTAAAACAAATGTGCCTAACCCAAGCACAGAAAAGAACAACAGCTTCTTCTAGACATTTCTGTGATAGTATGGTGTATTAATATTTTGCTTTTCTTTGGGGTCAGTTATCTTAATGTCTGTGCATAATGTCAATGTGACACATTATTTATTCAAGTATAAAAATAAATTCAGATCCAAACAAGGATGTAGGTGCTCAAAACAGTATTTAAGGAGACTAAAGATGTCTACATCCAAAACTGTGATCCTGAAAGTAGCTGACTAATCAGGAAAGTGCCTAACTCACCAGATGCCAGCCTTGCTGTCCTGACAGTTCCTAAGGCTTCTTTCTAGGTCTATTCCTGAATTTGGCCCTAATGCTGTTAGTTATATACTTAACTACAATGCTTTCTGTTACAACTATTTTTAGAATTTCAGAATTTTTAGAAGTTCAAATTCCAATTCATCTAGTGTTCAGATGTTTTGAGAGAGCCAATGGGCTTTATGTAGACTAACAAAAAGTAAGAAACTAACCTGGTAGATTCTTTGGAAGCTTTGCTGAGTAAGGACTGCAGGATCAGGCCTGAAAGGTAAGAAATAAAAAAGATTACAAAAATGTAATCTAAGGCGAGGACCATTTTCTTTTGTGGATAACTATATGCAACTCTCAGAGGAATCACTTGGACTAGTATGCCTATAGCAATGATAGAATGACATGCTAAATACTATTAATTTACAACTTAATGTCCTTATACTGCTAGTGTGATTTTGGCCTTCCTGATATCCTGAAAACTGACCTAGCTGCTTTTATCTGCACACTGGTTTTGTTATTTACTAGATATTCAATGAATTATGTAATATACGGTAATATACCAGATGTGGAAATAAACATGAATTAAACTGTGTTTAAGTACCTGAGTATATTTGTTGCAAAAATAGTGCTAATAAACTAATTGTGCCTATATGTGGTTGGAGTCTTCTGTGGTATGCTTTTGAATTTAGACTATTTGTTTAAGAGCTTACTATGCATTAATTCTTCATGTAAGGAACAATTACTGTTCCTGTTTATTTAAAACCAAGGTAGACACCAGAAAATTAATTCTCACTGTACAGAACTTGTCCAATCCTCAAAAACCACAGAAAGATGCACTACTAATCAGGGAGACTTGTACCTTAAAATTACCATGGACAATGCTCTGTTCAGTAGGGAGAGTGCTTTCTCATCCAACTGCTTTATCCTAGTTTTGAGACTTTTAATCCTTGTCTGGTAAATAGAAAAAGGAGGAGGTTATCACTTTTTTTTTTTTTTCCTTCCTGTTATGCTGTACTTATTAAGGTGAACAACAGCTTAATATCTAATGGTAATGGTAATGACTTCTGAAGAGATTCAGGAAGCCCTTGGTGTTCGTTTCTTTTCACTCACCAGATTCACTGATGCCTTTGAATTCTGTAGCATAAATCCACAGTAGCTATCACTGAAAATGTTTGCTGTTAAGACTGAAGCTCTGTTCTGCTTTTGCCTCCCAAAATCTGAACAGGCATTCGGTATGTAAGTGTGACTCGATAAAATTAATCCCAAATAGCCTGAGGCAAATCATAAGTACTTGGCTGCAGCATTCAGGCAATTAAATGCGGCATGGACATATGCATTGCTGTATGACTGTGTCCACAGTCATTCTCCTTGGTGCTCCACCACTTGTTGAGTCTGCCTCTGGACCAATTGTTTGTACCACCACTCTTACCTGTCCATGTGGAAAGTAGTTTTGTACATGGAAAGAGAATCATAGCACATAGCAGTGGCTTTTTTTTTTTTTTTTTTTAAGACAGAGAGGGAGCGAGGAACATGTGCCACAAAGCACGTGGCATCTGCCCTGCAGACTGCAGGAGGAGTTGCTGTGGGGTCTGGTTCAGGACCAAGTCTGACACATGACAGTGTGAAACAGGGAGAGTAAGCAGACAGAGTAAAGAAGGTAAAAACAAAGGTAACTGTAGTCAAATATATTTCTTTAAATAAACTGTTCAGATTTTCTGAGCTACTGTTCATCTATGGCTCCCTCTGGCAGCTGAAACAGGAATGTCCAGGTTCTTGGGTTCAGGGCAAATTTGAAAAAAATGAAGATTTTTAATTCTTAAAGCCAGAAATGTTATTTCAAATTGGTGACAATCTGTACCATCAACACTAGATGGCAGTAAGTGATAACATTTTTGAATAAATAAATTGGGCCTAAATGCATAGCTTTAAGTGAAAGGGAACAGCAACATGGTTACAGCAGAAGCAAAGTAGTCATTACATACTTTTGAAGTTTGAGCCTTTCAAGCAGAACTCTGATACACTTACACACAGCAGCCTCTTAGGACAGGGATTTAATCTTTTCTGAATTGTTAAATTTCTATTGGAGATTTTATTTATTTATTTTATTTTCTCAGGCTTTGCTGCTTTGATTCATTTAGCAGCTGTTATTACGACGGAAAATATGGATAACCATACTCATCCTTCTTGTGGAGGCATCCAAACCTGATATGAAAGCCACTGCATAGTTTGTCTGCATAGAGGACAATTTGATGGTGGGAGATAAGAAAATTCCAGATCTCCAAGTGGTTTTGTTTTATTTTATTTACCGTGAGTTAGCCATAGCAGCCTTGCAGCCTGTTAAAATTCATAGCACCTGCTTATCCACAAAACAGTGACCTACTAGTCACTAGTCTAGTGTGGGTCTAAATCCCAATATTGGTTCATGGTTAGGATGCCAATGCATATCATGGCATATAGAAGTGATTTTATTTAATGACAAGCTTCTGAAAAACTGTAGAGATGTAGAGTGTGTCATAATACATTTTAAAAAGAAAAATGCATTCATATAATCAACTATCATTCACATATATAATATAAAAGCCATTATAAAGTAGACTGGTAATATTTTAAAGCATCTGGATTTAAGGAAAAACTATGATATATACATTGTTTACTGAAGAGTTTATATACAAATAGGTAGTTGAGTAGATATTGGGATCTATAGATATATTGTTATAGGTAGTTTCTCCTGGTTTTAGTATGCACTCTCAGGCCATGAGGGTAGAGTGGCAGAAGAGTAGTCATTTCCATTTTGGTGATAGTAGGGCTATACAAACCAAGGGAAAAAGTAAAGAAGCTTACAGAAGTTGGGATACGTAGAGCCTAGATTTTAAGCTTAATGATGGAGCAGTTCTCAGCAAGTACAACAGTGGATAGAAAACAGTTTAACCACCTGTATGTATGAATTAATATTCAAACAAAAATCATTTTTGTCAAAGGTTTTTATATGGAAAAACAAGGTATTTTATAACTATCTAATATCACAACATTGAATTAGATATTTAACTCTGTATGGAAATCATCAGACTATGATTATTTGATTGCCTCGTGATAGAAATATCTAACAGTCTCAGTGGTCACGGCACCGAGCCTGCTGGAGTTCAAGGCATTTGGACAGCGCTCTCAGACACGTGGTATGATTTTTGTGTGGTCCTGTGCAGTGCCAGGAGTTGGACTTGATGAATCTTGTAGTCTCTTCCAATTTGGGATATCCTATGACTCTATGATAAGTTTCAAGCTTACAAAACTTAGTACACATATTATCAATCAGAAGATAAATCACACATGTTTAAGAAGAATTGTGTAGGCTGAGGTGAAGATAGTGGGTTATTTCAGCCATCCCTATAAACAATCCTGTTGGATACATCCATATATATTAAATGAAAGTGTTAAAGTGTGAATTTTTCCACATAGGAATTATCTAACTATAGGTATATTCAACTGGAATTGGTTATTTGTCTGTGGATGTATCCACAACCTGTAAATGGTGTTTATCTGCATCTGATCTTCATCACCCACTTCCATTTAACCAGTAGCTCAGGGCTAACAGATCTCTAGAATGTGCTTACATGTGTGTGTAATTCAACCTTTACTTCACTATTTTCTTTCAAATTATTCTTCATGCTCACCATTTAAGTGTCCTAGTAGTCTTTCTTAAAATATCCAAATGCCAGAAGCATTATGGTGATTTCACTGTGGGTAACTGAAGAGAAAGTTAAACCATGAAGAATGCCATTGGCGTTGTAACTGTTAATCTATGTGGAAATGCTTCCTACTCTTTATTCAGGGTGCAGAGGGTACTGCAGGCACATATAGGTACCATTTCTCTCTCTCATGATCTTACATCAAGTATTTCTGATAGTGAAGGTAAGTATTCCAGCTCATTTCCTTCTGCTCAGCAGCATTCCTTAAGTGAGCAAAGAGAGCAACAGTGTGGGCAAGGCAATGGCATAAAGTTCTATCAAAACCAGGGCGGGGACATTCTGGGACATCCCCAATAGCTCTAGGAAGGTCACAAGTTGGGCCAAGAAGTGCTTGCTGCTGCAGTGTGATTTGTCAGTCTGAAACAAATCAGCAGGGCTGTGCAACATGAGTGGCAGTGTGGTGGCTGCAGAACCCAGAGGTCCAGAGGCCTGTATTTCTACTGAATGCATCAGACTGTTGTTAAAATGGTAATAATGCTGTGTCCACACGAATTGAAATCTGTTGGAGAAATGAAATACATCCTTACAAGCAAACCTGAAGTAAGCAACTTGGAAGTGGACTACAGTGAGGTTATTTTAGGATGGCAAAACCCAGTAGGTAGGTTATAACCCGCTTCAAACTCTGCAGTGTGCATATTTGTGTCCTTTGTGTGATGTTATGCTATTGGAACAAAGACAAAGCTGCACTATAAACTGACATTATATTATGGCTCTCATTTTGTCTCCAAAGAAATAACCTTGCATTCTCCTTTCTCTGCTGTATGATGCCATGTTCTTACCTGCAACATCTTGAAGATGTGGCTGTGAAAAACACTTCAGAGCCAAGCATAGCCATATCATAGCAGGCAATACCTGCTGTGTGGTAAAATGTGTTGTAGAGGATGGGTAGAGGAGAAAACCCTCACTGAAATCAGCCAATAAGGTTTTAAAAACCTTGGGAGCTACATCTATTGATGAAGAATAGAAATCTGTATAATCAAAGAGATGGTCATCCTAACTGCTTAGGATTTTGTTTTGTAAACTTTATGCCCATAAGTAGAGCATGCAGCTAGAGGAGAAGAGAAAAAAAAAATAAAAAAAAATGAAAAAAGGAGGTGAGAGAACACCCTTAGTTGGAGGACCCTAGAGAAGAAACCAGAGCAAAATTTTCCTTTAGATTGATTCCCTTTTGCACCACTTCATCTGTCAGTGTAATGAAAGTTGCAACATAGTATTAAGCAATTTGAATTTATCTTTATATCAATCGTCTGATGGCAGGTGTGGCCAGAAATTAGACCCAAGGCATCAGTAGTAAATGGAGAAAGTGTAGGAATGTATGAACCCCCACCCTAGAGTTACTGACAGAAGGAGAGTGGAGTTTGATCTCTTTTTGAAATTAAGGGAAAGCTATTATGGATGGCACGGAATGTGAGAAAATCTTTGATTCAAACTGTAAGTGTGCTACATGAAGGCAGCATCTTCTGAGCTGTACAAAGATAGAGGGTGGTACCAAGCTGTACCTCAGCTCATGAGGTGACAGAGAGCTCCTGTGCATCTCCATACCATATATGTAGTTATGTAGTCTGTGCAGGGACAACTTGAGAATGTCTGAGCCTGTTGCATAAAGATGTTGGCATCCATCTAGTTTAGAAAGGAAAGAATTGGGAAATGCAGGAAATATAATATCACAATTGTCAAGAGAGAAAGTGCTTCAGACACTTAACTCCTTTGCAAAGGAGTTTCTGTGCTTGCAGGGATACGTTACATTAGTCTTGTGGCAATGCAATTTAGTTTTGGAAGTTGTCTCACCCTTTTCTATATCTGTAGCCTCCTTCCTGCATCCAGAGGAGAAGCTGTGAAGCTTGACGTTACAAATCTCTTATGCAGAATATAAACCCCACAAAGTTAAGGTAGTTGTTCATCTTGGATGGGGTACATTTGAATCCAAAACTCATCTTTAGGATAGAAGCAAGGTATTAAGCTCTTTCTGTTAATAGGAATGTGAGTCTTTCTGCCTGGAGCACAATTCAACAGAGCAGTCAACCATTTCTTTAGCTTTGAAGATGCTGAAATGGAACCTGGGTTAAAAAGAACCGGTTCCCAGCCTGCCTCGAAAGGTAGTTGTTTAGTGCTAAAATGTGAGTTTCCTTTCTGGTACGTGAACATCCTAGCCTTAAGATTTTCAGTACTCAGTCGCGGTCCCCAGACTCTCGTGTTTTGAGAGGGATTGTACTCCCCTTACCTAATGTGGGAATCCCATTTTTGTGCCTCAAGGGTCAATGGTGTAAGGCACTTAGAAATCATTGCGGATTGTGGTTGTTGTCAATTGCCACGGAAATTAAGGCCATGCAAGTACCTTCTTCTCCTTCTTCTTCCCTTTCATTTGTTGTCTGGTTACTGCTCAATATTACACATTTGGTGAGATGTCCTAAAAAAAGCATTACATCCTAATGTTAACAATTCTTGGTTTTTCTTTCTCTAGGTCTGCCAGTAGCTGACAAGGTAGAAAGATGACCTCTTCTCTTTCATTCTTGTGAAGTTAGAGGCAGTGCCCATTTAAACTGTGGCTGAGGCTCTGCGATGGTGCAAGTCTATCTTACTCCTTCAAATTCAGTGATGCTGCCGGAGTTTTCAGTAATGAACTTTGAAGGATTCAACCACTCTAAAGCTTTTGGACAGTGGCAATTATCTGAAAACATTCCTACAGGTTTATCTTCTTCATCTACGTTTGTTTGCTCTCTCCATCTCATTCAAAGCAGTCAGGACTGGTTTGCTCTCTACAGATAACTTAAAGGAGGCTGTAGCGAGGTGGGGGTTGGTCTATTCTCCCATGTTCCTGGTGACAGGACGAGGGGGAATGGGCTTAAGTTGCACCAGGGGAGTTTTAGGCTGGATGTTAGGAAGAACTTCTTTACCAAAAGGGTTGTTAGACATTGGAACAGGCTGCCCAGGGAAGTGGTGGAGTCACCATCCCTGGAAGTCTTCAAAAGACATTTAGATGTAGAGCTTAGGGATATGGTTTAGTGGGAACTGTTAGCATTAGGTCAGAGGTTGGACTCGATGATCTTGAGGTCTCTTCCAACCTAGAAATTCTGTGATTCTGTGATTCTGCTTCCCCCTTCTCTGGAAATTTGCACTAGGAACCATTGTTAGAATCAGAATCCTGATCTGAGAGCATGATGAAAAATGTTGCACTCCAACTTGGACATTGGAGAGGAAAATGTTCATGTAGACGTCAGTATGGTACTCAAACAGCTGCTTACACCTTTTAACTTTTAAACCTGAGAAGCAACAGGTAGTTTCTACGTTGCCCTCAGGGATAGTGTACTCTTTTGTACTTTGCTTCTATACAAACAGTTCAAAATTTTAAAGTCATGTTGTCGCTCATACCACCAAACAACCTTGCACGGCATTACACGTTCCCCCCCAGATAGAGCTTGTCCTGAATGCGAGACCAGACAAGAAATAATGCCAGCACGTAAAACTAACTCGTACATACATCTCTTTTTGGCTTTTTTTGTTTTGTTTTGTTTTGATGCTTTGTGGGGCTTAGCTGTACTTCAGATAGAAGAATGTCTTCTGGTGTGAACTGAAATTATACCTCTATGCCACAATGTCCCTCTATTTTGGGGGAGGGGAGAGGAGGGTGTTGATAATTCCTTGTGGACACCTGAAGGAGTTGCAAAATAATAAACTTTAGGTGAAGGAAAAGTTCCTTCTCTTAATTTTTGTCATTGTTGTTTTTCTTTTCCATCTGGTCATAAAACGAAGGTCCCATTTTCTGGCTTTTGGCAAAGTGCAAACATGCTGAAACTGTTCACGTCACGTAGACTGTATTTGTCTGAAATGATAATATCATACCTATAGTCTGCTGCAGGCTCAAAAGCAGCCTATGCCTCCTGGACTGTTTTATGCCTTTGCTTTTGTTACTACGTCCTTGTAAGTCTTAAACAGGGAAACGAAATTACCCTATACAGAAGAAACACCATCCAGAAGAAACTTCAGGTGCTAGGGCCTGAATTTTCACTGAAACCAAAGGCAGGTATCTTACTGACGTGAAGAAAGGGGCTTTAATCTATCCTGGCTTGTTTACTAATGAAGGAGCGTGAAAGAGATGCGTGTCCTTGTCTCTGAAGAGGAGGTGAAGGAACAGCTAGTGCAAGGAACACAAAATTCAGTTATGCCAAACTAACAGGTGGTTGTATCCCAGCTTGGAGACCGCAACACAGAATCACCTAGGTTGGAAGAGACCTCCAAGATCACGTAGTCCAACCTCTGACGTAACACTAACAAGTCCTCCACTAAGCCATATCCTTAAGCTCCACACCTAAACATCTTTTAAAGACCTCCAGGGATGGTGACTTGACCACTCCCCTGGGCAGCCCGTTCCAATGCCTAACGACCCTTTTGGTGAAGAAGTTCTTCCTAACATCCAGCCTAAAACTCCCCTGGTGCAACTTTAGCCCATTTCCCCTCGTCCTGTCACCAGGTACATGGGAGAAAAGACCAACCCCCACCTTGCTACAGCCTCCTTTAAGGTATCTGTAGAGTGCGATAAGGTCGCCCCTGAGCCTCCTCTTCTTCAGACCGAACAATCCCAGCTCCCTCAGCCGCTCCTCATAAGACTTGTTCTCCAGATCCCTCACCAGCTTTGTTGCCCTTCCCTGGACTCACTGGAGCCCCTCAATATCCTTCTTGTAGTGAGGGGCCCAGAACTGAACATAGTACTTGGGGTGCGGCCTCACCAGAGCCAAGTACAGGGGCACAATGGCTTCCTTAGTCGTGCTGGCCACGCCGTTTCTTGTACGAGCCAGGATGCTGTTGGCCTTCTTGGCCACCTGAGCACACTGCTGGCTCATATTCAGTCGACTAGCCACCAGTACTCCCAGGTCCTTCTCTGCCAGGCAGCGTTCTAACCACTCAGATGGCTTTTCCAACCAGCTTCAAACTTCCAGATCTAGAGGAACGCTTTGGCTGCAGCCTAAAAGCCACGTGCACGTAAGCTGCCGCAAGCCAGCCAACCTTCTTCCCATGACCTGCCAGGAAACAGCAATGTAAGCACGTAACCAAATTAAAGCCAAAACTTGCAGCCCAGTCCTTGACCTGAATAGTGAGTGAGGATCCAGAGCCTGGCATTTATGCGTGATAGCTTCTACGCAGCCGGAGTAAATACACCCCGGGTGCCCTGAGCTGGAGGACCATGATGGTGGGAATGATCAACTCCCAACCGACCCCGAACGTGTGCAGGATTTGCTGCTCCACCTGGATCTATACAAATCCGTGGGACCGGGTGGGATTCATCCCAGGGTGCTTAAGGAGCTGGCTGGTGCCATCGCGGGACCTCTCTCAATTATTTTTCAATGATCTTGTGAATCTGGAGAGGTCCCAGTGGACTGGAAGCTGGCAAATGTCGTACCAATTTTCAAGAAGGGCAAGAAAATAGACCATGGCAACTACAGGCCTGTCAGTCTCACATCAGCACCTGGTAAAATCCTGAAGAAGATGATCCTTGAAATTCTTGAAGCGCACCTGGGGGACAATGCAGTCCCAGCCAACATGGGTTCATGAGGGGTAGGTCCTGCCTAACAAATCTGAATTCCTTTTATGATAAGATCACCCATCTAGTTGATCAAGGGAAACCAGCTAACGTGATCTTTTTGGACTTGAGCAAAGGTTTTGACATGGTTTCCCATGGGATCCTACTGGACAAAATGTCCAGCATACAACTTAACAAACATATCATACGGTGGGTGAGCAATTGGCTGACAGGCAGGGCTCAAGGGCTTGTGGTAAATGGGGCCACATCAGGCTGGCACATGGTCACTAGTGGGGTCCCTCAAGGCTCCATTTTAGGGCCGGTCCTCTTCAATGTTTTTATAAACAATTTAGATGTCAGACTAGAAGGTATTTTGAGCAAAGTTGCTGATGGCACCAAACTTGGAGGAGTTGTAGACTCAGATGAGGGTGGAAAGGCCTTGCAGAAAGATCTGGGCAGATTGGAGAGCTGGGCGATCACCAACCACATGAAGATTAACAAGAGCAAGTGCCGGGTCCTGCACCTGAGACGGGGCAACCCTGGCTATATGTACCAACTGGGTGACGAGATGCTAGAGAGCATCCCACAGAGAGGGATCCGGGGGCGGTGGTTGACAGCAAGCTGAACATGAGCCAGCAGTGTGCCCTGGCATCCAGGAGGGCCAACCATATGCTGGGGTGCATCAAGCACGGCATTGCTGGTCGATCGAGGGAAGTGATTGTCCCGCTCTACTCTGCGCTGGTGCGGCCTCACTTCGAGTACTGCATGAAGTTCTGGGCACCACAGTACAAGAAGGACATTAAACTGCTGGAGAGTGTCGAGAGGAGGGCGACGAAGATGGTGAAGGGCCTAGAGGGGAAGCCGTATGAGGAGTGGCTGAGGTCACTGGGCCTCTTCAGGCTGGGGAAGGGGAGGCTGAGGGGGAACCTCATTGCAGCATACAACTTCCTCGCGTGGGGGAGTGCAGAGGCAGGTGCTGACCTATTCTCCGTAATCACCAGTGATAGGACCCACGGGAACAGTGTTAAGCTGAGGCAGGGAAGGTTTAGGCTGGACGTCAGCAAGAGGTTCTTCACTGAGAGGAGCATGGTCGCACACTGGAACAGGCTCCCCAGGGAACTAGTCACTGCACCAAGCCTGTCTGAATTTAAGAAGCAATTGGACTGTGCTCTTAGTCATGTGGTCTAAACTTTTGGGTAGACCTGTGCGGTGCCAGGAGTTGGACTTGATGATCCTTACGGGTCCCTTCCAGCTCAGGATATTCTATGATTCTATAAATAGTGTAGTCAGAGGTCATGGGGCTAGATTTAGAAAAGTCCTGCATAAAGAAGGGATCTCAGAGAAGAAAATGTAAATAACATTAATATCAAGAAGAGGAATTCTGATTGCTAAATTCTTTATCTGTCATGACTAGACAGATGAAAGTCTATGGCGGCAAGTTTGCCTTTAAGGTCATTTTCTTTTTTATTCATTTCTTTTATTTATTTGTATTTATTTTTTTAACAGGCTCTGTACTAATTTTGCTCACAGAATGACTAACAGAAATACGACCCTTGTGCACCTTTTGTAGTTAATGCATTAGGTCAACTGTAACCACTAAGCCCCTTGTCAGGTTATTTCTACTAGTGATAAGGAGCAATAGACCTTAAAACTTTGAAGCCAGGTAGACAAGCTTATTCCACAAGGTCTCTTGGCTCCACCCTTGTTAAGTGAAACCTGCCAGGTGTGGGTCATTTGACCTTTGCTATATAGGAAGCCTGAGGACTTGTGGGGGAATTGCCTCCCCAGGAGAGACTGAGGCTTGGGTAGCCTAGGGTGTTTTTCTCTTTTCTCTCATGGTGAATTGGGCTCAGTGTTCCCTACTAGGCTGCTTTTCCTTCATGTTTTCTGCCCTCTCTGTGAAATAGTTTTAGAGACTCTATGAGCTACTTACATTAGTGGTGCCTTCTTCAGAAAAACCCTGGTGGCATTATTTCACTGCAAAGCACTTTGGAAGTGACTCGAGTTCAGAAGACAGCAGGTAAGTGTTCCTGGGTTCTGTGGTTGTTACTGTTGAGGAGTTTGAGTACTTCCTTCACCTTGTCTGTTTTCTGTGAAATTACTTAGGTGGATTCTAAGCTCCCTTCCAAGCACTGGAGGGGAAAAAAAAAAAGGCCTCAGAAGACCAAGTGCACACAGGTCAGCTTGACGTTGAAGAAGGTTCTTAAGTATTTGGCAGATTGAAAAATGGGCTGTGTGAAAAAGGTGCCTTAATGTGAATGCAGATTTTTGCCTTGTGGTAAGTAGAAGCAGGTTGGGATGGATACTGGTGGAAAGATTGCTACTTTGACTACGTGGAAATTGTGAGAATGTGCTGTTGTTCATAAAAGAAATACTGTTTTCACAATATGCCGGTCAACAGCAGTATGAGGAAAGTCTTCCCTTCAGGCCTGGGTCTCAGCTGGGGACTGCTTCCTGTACAGGTCCAGCAACTTGAAGAGAATTGAACTTCCTCCCAAGCTCTATGAACCAGAGTCTCAGCTATCAGGGGTAAGCGTCTTTCTGTGCAAGAAAGACAACATGGCGCAGAATTGAGGTGCAGAATTGAGGCAAGCTCAGAAGGGGAGAAATCTCAGCAATGTTGAGTTTAGAAATCAAGACAGGAAATAATGCAAGTGATGAGAAGCAAGGTATTTTGTATTGTCTGGAGATTGGGAATCATAGGTTAGAAAGCAGAGAAAGATTTAAAGCTATTCATGTCAGAAATAAGTAATAGTATTCTTAATATCTCTTTATCCAGAGAGGTGACAATAGTCTAAAATTGATCAATAGCAGGAAACCGGAGGACTGACAAAAACAAAGTGCAAATGGGCCAGAAAATAATGAAGGGAGAGAAACTCGGAGTGATACTGACCACAGTGTAATCATTCTAGAAAAGAATGAAAGCCCCAAGAGGCCACTTGCCCAGTCTGAGCGCAACAGTGGTGCTCCAAGGACCATCTGATTCAGCTGCATTCAGCCATGTGAGATCGAGGACAAGGAGAGCTAAGATCATTTAAACTTTTAAAGCCAGGAAGCGTGCTTTGCAACTCAGTCCTAATGACAATGCTTGGAGCTGGCAATGTCCACTGGAACTATTTGGCAAGGAAGCATGGAAGCGATGCTGTGATAGATAGGCATAATGGACTGCAGAATAATTTCTCGTCACTGAGGTGACTCACTTCCTGCCAACCCACATTTTAACACTTATTGGTATCTTTTCCTCATGGTTGTGATAATTACAGTTGCATTAAATGGCTGCAAGCAATCATAGTAAAAGTTACTACTGGTGCTGTTACTTTCCCATGGGGAAAGGAGCATCTATTTCAAAGGATTTGGTCTACTGTATTTCATCTGGAAGGTGGGATCCACATCTTTGCATAAAGAAGTAAAGGGTGGTGGCTTGTGAAGGTATTGTTGGGGCAAGAGACAGCTGCACTTTCTCAGACTGAAACAGTTTATGTTGCATTAGCACTGATCAGCCTTCAAGTACTCTTTTGACACTAGGAACATGCTCCCTCAGAAGCATTCGTTGCTCTGCCTTCTGCTTTGTATATTAAACCTCTTCTCTCACTGCATCTGCTGCTGGAATGCCACCTCCAACTATCTTCAGTGGCCACCAGGCCTCTGCTAGGCTATGAGAACAGAAATGATAACCACAGCTGAGTGGGTCCTTTCAGCACCTAAACTTACCAACAAAATTCCAAGTTATCAAAACTGAAGAAATTCCCTGTGAGGGGACAGGCAGAATTGGATTCACATTTTCAGCTTGGGTAGAGTACTCGGCCAAGGCACTGACACCTTCATTTAATTATCCTAAGAACAAGGTATCTGTAGGTAACAGGTTTGTATGCATGCATTATATTTTAGATAAAAGCTGGGAAGCAGAGAGATCTTATCCTCTAGAACCCCAGACCCCAGTTTGCTCCAGTAGGATATGCTCTCATCTGTAATGATGACAAGACTACAGTATTTCAGGTCTTTAATATGACTGCTCCTCTTCATTGACAGGAGCAGGAGAGAAACAGTTTTGCTTTGGGGAAATTTCAGTATCTCTTCAGGTCTGTGCCACTACAGAAGCGTGGCATCCAGGGTGTTATACATAATATCTATTTTCCTCTGTAAACAAAACAGATTCCTCTATAAAACAAATAAATAGAAGTAAATTAAGTGCTTTCAAGTTTAAGACAGATCTTGCTGGGAGCATGATGAAGAGACAAAAAAGAAATATTTGTTCTAGACAAAAGAATCATTGTTATTCTTCAGAACAGGCTCATTTCTCACATTTAGCATGGCACATGGGATGCAAATCACTTACAGAAGAAGAAGAAATATGGGAATGCTGTTCCTTCATCCTAACAAGCTAAGACTAAAAGTCACTGCCTCCTAAATGTGCTGTTATCCCAGAGCTGTTTTGGTCACTGTTATGATGAGTTTCTGCCAGAAGTCAAGCATTAATGAACTACATTCATTGCACACCAGCACATGAACGTGTAATACCATTACTAATTGTTGATAGGAAATTTAACTTTTAATGTAGAAAGAGAAATGTAATGAGGTTTCAGTGTGGCCTGGACTGTCTGCAAGGACACTTTATTTACAGTGAGGCCTCACATTGTTTATTGCCAAGTTAAGGACTGTGCTAGTAGTTTTGTCTGTTGTCTGGCCAGAAGTTGGTTTTGTCTAGCCTTGACCACAAGACCTCAGCTTTTCTTAAAAAAAAAAAAAAAAAAAAAAAAAAACTTTTCTCTGGGAAAACTAATGAACCAGCCCCTTTAAATATGGAGTATGTGAAGTAAAAGAAACCCATGGTGGACAGTTCATCAAATGAAATGGTTTTTGACAAAATGCATACCTGAAAGCAAATATGTCCTAAGGGCAATACTTTATCCATCAGAAGCAACATCTTGGCTCAACAGAGTTGCCTAAGGGTTGGATCCTTGCTCTGGCACTGTGCAAGCATCTAGTTTTCAAGGAGTTGCCTCTGCTTCATTCAGGAAAAAAAAGCAAACTAGCTTACTGTCTGGAAAAAACAGAGGCAACTTCTTTGAGCTAAGCAAAAGGATGTGTAAATGTGCATTTATGTCTGAACATCTGATTAGCAATGCTCCACATACTTATATTGAAATAATTAATGTCTTTATTTTTTGCCCATATACAAATACATATAGCATTATTTTAACTATTATATATATGATGATGCATTATATATGAAATAAATGGTTGGTATTTCACACCAGTGATAGTGGCAATCCATGCACAGGGTCAGAGTGTGGTCCCCATCTCCAAGTGGAGGATGGGGGGGCATACTACAGCCAAGAGTAGAGGATAGGGGACTGCCTGCACAAAGAGGTAGTCAGTAGGCAGAGGAGCACCTCTTCTCTGAGATGTGTGGGATGGGCTGGATCTGGTCCTCAAGGGCCAAAATGCTTCCATTATCAAATTTTAGCTGGCTTGTTAAAAATGATTTATTTGTTTATTCCTACATGCAAAAGAAAAGTTGAGAGCTTGACTCTCAGCCTTCTCAAGTAATTTTGTAGGAGGTGTTCTGAGTAGGTGTATACTGTTTCATTTTGAGAAAAGTCTGACATGCTTGCCTAGGATTAGTGTTTCAAATTTTAATTCTTGGAAATCTGGTCCAAGTCTGGGCATTGACTATCTCTCCCTTAAGAAAGCTAGCTGATATTCCTGTAGAACATGCACTGCTTTGTGAAGAAGTTTCACATACAAAGAAAAAGACAGGGAGTTGTACATTACCTCAGCCTTTAACTTCAACCCACCAAGCTTTGCTAGTTAATAGACATGGGCTGATTTTATTTCATTACAACTGGGCTGATTTTATTTCATTACAACTTGTTCCTTGGCTAGTTATATTAAGTCTTTCTTTCTGAGCATGAAAAAACTTTAATGGTTCTTAATTAACATATTAAACTAGTCAAAAGATTTTGGTACTTTTTTTCATTCCTTCATCTGAAGTAAATAAGTGATATTTTGTTTTGAAACCTCTGTTATTCTGTAAAATAAATAAAAAAAGTTTTAGGTATGTAAAAATATATGCTACATTATGTCCGATGACAAAGAGAGAAATGACTGTGATCAGAACCCTGCACTTCCAACCTCCTATCCTCCAGGCATGATTGGTCTTGTGGAAGGGCTGAAGGCAATCCAAAGGTTTTGCTGTCACAACCTAGGAAAATCATTTGGAGAAGTGAAAGAAACAGTTTCCCACAAGCTGTTACAGGAAGGCAAGGAGGAAATGCATGTTTCTAAACACAGTAACAGGATGTTAGAAAGTGAAGGTGATGGGCAGACCTCATCAGCTGTGGCCTGCATTAGGGAAACCTCCCATGACCTGGTGGTTCCCTGTGTCCATTCCTCCCTTATACTAAACCTGAATGTTGCTTTGCAGCAGCTGAGGTGGATCTGGGAATCTTCTCTTCTTGAGTCCAGTCATACAACTGGTATCACCCCTGGGAGAGATCAGGCATGGGGTGTGCTACCCCCTCAATACCATTTCCTGTCCAGGGCATGCAGAATCACAGAATGGTTTGGGTTGGAAAGGACCTAAAGATCATCTAATTCCACCCTCCCTGCCATGGGCAGGAACACCTCCCACTAGACCAAGTTGCTCAATGCCTCATCCAACCTGGCCTTGGACACTTTCAGGGATGGGGCATCCACAGCTTCTCTATGCCAGTGCCTCACCACCCTCTGAGTGAAGAATTTCTTCCTTATATCTGTTCTAAACCCACCCTCTTTTAGTTTAATGCCATTCCCCTTTGTCACTCCCTGACAAAAAGTCCCTCCCCAGATTTCCTGTAGACCCTCTTTAGGTACTGGAAGGATACTGTAAGGTTCCTTGGAGCCTTCTCTTCTCCAGACTGAACATCCTCTACTCCCTCAGGCTGTCTTCATAGGAGGGCTGCTCCAGCCTCCAATCATCTTTGTGGCCTTGAAGCCTCAGGCATACCCAAGGCTTCCCCTGAGGTATGTAAGATAGGTTTCTCCAGAGAGAACATGCATTGTTAAAATTACTCTTTTCTCAACTGTGTAACCTATAGATGTGGCCAAAGAGCCTAAGAAATATCAACGTGGTGTCGGTGACAGAAGACAAGGAGAAGGAGATATTTAATCGCAAAAAGTCCAATGCACATAAGAAGCTTAGCTGACCCAACCTGGGGCTGTAGGCAACTATGGCAGAACTTAGAGAAGACAGCATGAAATGTGTTGTAGGACAGATAGCTTAGAGGACACTGGTCATGTCAGGGTTTGGTATAACAATGTTTTCAATGCTATAAAGCTCTTCAAGTTTCACTGGTTAAAGAAAAGGCAAGGGGTACTGAGGGAATTAAGGCTGGAGCCAATAGTCCACAACAAGGAATGTGAGTCACCAAGGAGCTTTGTTTATTTTCCAGCAGAATCATAAAAGCATCATCCACTTATCTAAATAAACACAACAATGCACAAATTATTCCTGAGGAACTCATAAAACATGTATAAATGACTCCAGAGATAAACAGTAGAATTCTATCTCTAGCATGCATATTTTCTGATTTAAAAGTCTAATTTTTAATCTTCTCCCTATAATCCTACTTTACAAAAAAAAAAAAAAAAAAAAACAAACAAAAAAAAACAAATAATTGGTAAGGAACTTGCTCTTGAATTATAAAATCAAGTAATAATACTTTACTAGTCATGGATTTCTTTCCTCTTAGGCTTTAGAAACAGTTAAAATGTCTAACTAGAGAGGAATGAGAGGGACTGAAAAAAAATATAAAAATAAACATCACTTAAGCTTGGATATTTGGTTTACTTTATGATGTATCTAAATACTTAGGGTCATGAAAGGTGAAATGCTTCAGTAAGACTAAAGAACATGTAAAGCAGGGATGGTCATTCCTAGATTCAGCATCTGCAATCTTTATCTGTCCTCATAGCTCTTGGTACATCCCAGTGTATGCATGTGAATAGTACTGCATTAGACAACAGCAGATAAGGTGGGAATTATTTATTCTGGTTATTCTGCCCCCCATGACAAATCCACGATCAATTTCCTTGAGAACTCTTTTTCTTTCAAGCAATTGCTCCTTTGAGGATCTCACCTGTGGGGGTTCATTCTCGTACAGCTGCACCTTACGCCATACTGCCCTGTGATCGCTTTCCTGAGTCCTGACCCAGACCAGGTGTTCTTCTTTGAACCTTTGGAGTTCACCTGTGTCTCCACCAAGTGGCCTATGGCTATATTGATGCTCTGTTGTTTTATTCAAATGAAATGAGATAGCCTTAGGGTAATTTATTTCAGGTAGTCCACTTCTGAGTTATTAGGGCTGTTTTTCACAGTGAATCTTCTGTACTTCTCTGCCACGTTCATCTTCATGTTGTCTAGGAACTTAGAAAATGCTTGAAGTGCCTACAGACTGCAGGTGACTACCCTAGTCCATGTCTGGAAACATAGATATTCCTAGCCTGACAAAACTTTGGAAATAGCTGGTAGATTCATGCAAACCTTCTAGCAAATTATGCTGGTTTTCAGAATAAAGTGGGATGTCTGAGCACATCCATGGGAGAATTACCAGTGACATTTTGCAGTGTTACAGAACTCCGCACTGAGCACATTCTTAGATGAAAAAGCAGCAAAACTTTGTGTCTTACAGCACTTGAGCGGAAAGTACGGTCCCTTTACTGTTCAAAATATAGCTCTGTTTTTTGTTTGTTTGTTTTTGTTGTTTTGTTTTGTTTGATTGATTTTGGTTTGGTTTATTACTATTTTATTTATTTATCCATATTCCATGTTGGCCAGTGCCAGAACCTCTGTGCTAGCACAATACTTATTTCTTGGTTTCTATCAGCAGTTTTCCAGGGAAGCAAGATACAATGAACCATGGTTGTGACAGCATTACTGACATCATTAAGGGCATCCATTTCACATGAGCACCCTGCTGTCTATAATCTAAGTTGTCTGGGTTCCTTCTGAGGGTAGCTGGGGGATTTGCTCAGTTTTTGCCAGCAGTGCCAGCTATTCTCATGGCTAAATAATTTGGCGGCAGCTAAAAGTCTCCATAGTCCACAAGCACATCCTTCACCCACAGCAGCAGCAAGTGGGTCAAATGTAGGGTTGACCCAAGTGGTTGCCCCAGTCAGCTGCAGAAATTTTTGACTTGCTGCAGAAACTGGACTTTTACCAACTTCTTTGTTTTTTGCTGGTTAAGTGGCCTGTGTTCTTCCTGTAATACAGCCTCAGTATGTTTATAAGGAGAAGCATATGTATTACTGTGGTGGTGTTATCAAAATAGGAGGGTTTTCAAGATCACCTTCTACACCAGAATCAGCAAAGCAAAGCAAAGTGGTGACTGGCAAAAATGTGTAACAGGTGGCACAAGCACTGCAATGTGTGTGGTCTTTCACAAATTGAAGCCATATGAGGTTTTCTGAAAGGCTTTCGGAGTCACAGAGCCTCGTGGATGCCCAGTCTGTAATGTCTTGTGCTAGCACTTTGCAGCATTTGTAGCACAGTTTGCAGCCATGGGAGTGGAAGGATGGTGCAACTGCCCTCGAAGCCATCAATGGCTGTTCATCCACACCTTGTATTTTTTCTGTTAGGCTAATTAAGAGCTGCATAGAAACTACAACAACATAACCATGGCTGCAAGTCTCTTAGGTCATTGAAAGGAAAGGAAAGATTTGTTTTACTTCAGAGAGCTTGAGTTTATCTTCCAAGTGTGTCTTTATGCAGGAAGCAACTTGAAGATGACTCAGGCACAGTCAGTATAATGGATAGACCAAAAGAAAGTAGTTCCAAGAAGGACGGAAGGTTGGAAAACGACAGCCTGTTCTTCAAAACCCATAAATTGATTCGTCTGTTGGTACAGATGGAGGACTGCTTGAATTTCTATTCTGATGCCTGTATTTGGCCTCCTTTGTGCTAGCTGAGAGCACTTGCACTCATAGTAAACTTTGCAACATCCTTAATTTACCGATGACTTGGATGATCTAACTTTAAAATATCCTGTCAAGGTTGTTCCTTTGGTTTGGCATAAGGAGTCTGAAGAAAAGGTTTACGATTCCCTCCTCATCCGGTGAAGGCCTAATCTTATAAAAGGATTTCACTAAATACAATAAAAGAGACCTCTATTACAATACATGTAAGACAATACCGCTGGCCCTGGGAAGCTGTTCTCCCCATCTCAATATACAGTAGAAACATAAGATCTGTATTAGGAAAGAATAGATTCTTCCCTCCTAGTAGAAACAATAAAGATCCGAGTTTCAATTATGATACATATATTATATTCTTAATTATAGTATGTCACTTCAGGAGCCTGAAAGAAGCTTTTAGATAGGAATTACCATTCTTCTGTTTTCTCTTCACAACAAAGCAAAAACAAACAAACAAATATCATACCTTAAATAAAGCTTTCCATTTCTATAACACCAAAGAAGCTAAGGTTCTTTATAAATACTTCTTGACATCTTCATTAGGTTGTTGCTTTTAGAAAGGAAACAATAGCACGTGGTCATTGGATTGTTTGTTTTTTGTTGTTTTTTTTTTTTTTAAAAAAAAAACTTTAAAGAAAGTTTTTTTCATCAGAAAATACCAATTGTTGAAAATATAAATCATACACAAGAAAAGCAACATTTAAAAAAATGACAAATTGTGAAAACACCCTATTTGTTGTTTGTTTTTTTTTTTAAGTTAGAAGGTGTTATTATTATTTAATTTTAATTTTGACATTTGAGGTTATTGAGTAAATAAAAAAGAAAAGATAAATACTGAAGCTATATCACAATGATAGGTATCAGAATTCACTATACCATGGTTTTATTTATTTATTTGTTAAATAGCTATCAGCTTTATGGGTTTTATTTTGGATTAAGATTTGTAATTCACTGTCTTGATTTGGCCCATGAAATATATTTTTTAAACCTGCACAAAGTCATAGGAA